TTTTTGAGAGAGAGAGAGAGAAAGCGCACATGTGAGTAGGGGAGGGGCAAAGAGAGTCTCAAGCAGACTTCATGCTGTCAGCACAGAGCCTGAAGTGGGGCTCAATTTCATGAACCACAAAGTCATGACCTGAACCAAAATCGAGATTTGGATGCTTACCCGACTGAGCCACCCAGGCGCCCCTATTTGACATAACTTTTAATAATGGTCTCGGGTTATTTTATGAAATATACTTCTTCATTTCTAATGTAAATTCCTTTTTTTCTTTTCTTCTTAATCCTTTGTTCAAATAAGAGAAACACCACCAGCCACCTCCCATACTTGAAGAGAATCATTAGATTCTTTCTTAGGACCCTAATTCCATTAGTCTTTCACCAAAGGATAGAGCCAGTATGGCCTGGTGAGTAGAGCCCAGGTCTTGGCATCAGACAGATCTTGGTTCACTTGTTGCTGTCACTTTGGTGTGTGACCTTAAGCAAATTAGTTAAGCTCTCTGAGCCCTTCCTAATTTTCTCATTTATGAAATGAAGATATCTTCTTTGCGTATTGTTGTAAGATATGAGATATTGAATGTAAACTGCCAGGTACCTGACCTGGAGCAGATACCCATTTTGACTTGTGATTCTGGTTTTACCAAACTGGAGACATTTCCTTAAAGGACTGAATATTCTAGAAATGAATGTTCTAAAATGAAATAGAACTATTCAGTTAAGTGACTTGACAAATCTTTCTAATAAGGAAGGAGAGGAACCTCACTTTCATTGCTGCACTGGACCCTGTGCTAGGGACTTCCTGGGTGCATCTGGGAGTCAGGAAGTGGGTATTGGCTTCTCAGCACCCTCACTAATTCATCTGTAAGTGGAAACAGCATCCCTTTCTCTGCCCCAAGCCTAGAATAAGATTTTACTTGTAAGTACTTTAAAAACAAAGAGATCTTGGGGCGCCTGGGTGGCGCAGTCGGTTAAGCGTCCGACTTCAGCCAGGTCACGATCTCGCGGTCCGTGAGTTCGAGCCCCGCGTCAGGCTCTGGGCTGATGGCTCGGAGCCTGGAGCCTGTTTCCGATTCTGTGTCTCCCTCTCTCTCTGCCCCTCCCCCGTTCATGCTCTGTCTCTCTCTGTCCCAAAAATAAATAAAAAACGTTGAAAAAAAAATTAAAAAAAAAAAACAAAGAGATCTTTCTCTACATGATCAATATTGCACTAAAAGAGATCTAATATCATTATTTTCTATCCTTTTTTGTCCTGTCTGAGTTTATTCCTACCCCTCCCCCCCCCCGCCAGGTCCCTTTGAAAACTGGCATTGTTTCCATTTTCTAGGGAAGAAGCACAGGGGCTCAAACTAGTGCCGGACTTTCTGCAGCATGCTGGAAGAGGCCTTACTGCTTTTCAGCTTTGCTGTTCTGTTGTCCAGACAAAGCTACACTTGTTGAAGAATCTTACCTGACATTCTCGATTACGTAATCCTCCATTTGTATTTATGGTAAAATCAAATTTCGGTTGTTTTTCCTGAGAAAACCAGAATGGAATTATGGATTAGGAACATTTTTTTTTTTTTAAGGTCGAAAAAGAAAGGCAAATGTAATCACAGATGGTTTTTATACAAACAAGAAAACCACCAGAGAGCTGGTACCTGACTGGAATTAAACTTTGAAGCACTGTAATCCTTCTTCATCAGAATGTGCAAAACAGCATCATGGATTGTTAAGAAGAAGATGGAGTCCTTGACTTCATCATCAAAAAAATCACACTGTACAAGCTTCTCGATGAAATCATCTAAAGAGAGGAAAGGAAGAATCACAGGAAGAAGCACCTGTGTGGCCACGGGCTTCTTCCTGAGACGGCAGATTTGAACTTCCATTCGCCAAGGTGCGGTTCATTTGTATTCGGTTAGGTGTTTGGGGATTGCAATGGTGTGATACCAGTGTGCCATTAGTTTAGTGTTTTCTGGAACAAAAGGATACTTTTTTTTTATTATTTATTTATTTATTTATTTATAGCTTTATTTTTGAGAGAGAGAAAGGGAGAGAGAGAGAGAGACACAGAATCCGGAACAGGCTCTAGGCTCTGAGCGGTCAGCACAGAGCCCAACGTGGGGCTCGAACTCACAGACCGTGAGATCTTAACCCGAGCTGAAGTTGGATGCTTAACTCACTGAGCCACCCAGGCGCCCCGAAAGGATACCTTTCTGGTAAAAGTATACATTGAATGCCCCATTGTCAAAAGAATGAAGGAAAAGATTGAAATGAGGAAAGCTTTTAGTACTTCTTAGAAGAAAAGCAATCTGTTTTTGCTCTAGTTGGGAGCCTAGTGGATTCTCTCCCTGGCTAATGACGAGAACAGTGAGTGTGGCTTATAAAAAATTGGGGTTCTGCCAAAATAGAACATATGCTCATAGACCAGTGACATGCTCTTGTTCTGGATTGCTGGACCTGTTACTTACCATAGTCTGTTTCCTTGAAGCTGCTGTGTTCCATCAGAAAACACCTTCCTTGGCACCCTGCATCTTTGAGAAACCCCCTTCCCGTAGGCACTAACCAGCACTTGTTTGTACAGATCCCTCAACCAAAGATTACCTCATGTGAACTATGTGCAGAGCCCTGGCTGGGCAATGGGGAGGATGAAGAGATAAATTAGACAGACATATGAAACTCACCATCAAGGAAGATAGAACTTGTATATACACCTATAGTAATGAACGGAAAAGTGATGTGGAAGAATAAAGACAGAAAGCGATCAGAGTTTTTTCTTGAACGTTTTCTTGGTTCTTCAAATCATGACCCCGTGCATAGTAGGTCCCTGGGGTTTTGTTGAACGAGCAAGACAGGTACAGAAAACGTGCTATGGAAATTCAGAGAGAGGAAAGATGGTTTCTTCTTGATGGGCGTCTGGGAAAACCTGACAGAGCAGATACCATTGCCAAGAATGCCCAGGTTTGGAGAAAGATGGAGGAGGGAAGCTACAAAGGCGTGGAGGTGGGCAAGTCTGTTCACAGGCAAGCTTCCGACACTGGCAAGACTTAGTAGTGCCTGCAGGGGGAGGAGACAGGAGCACAGTGTGGTCTCCAGAGCCTGGATGGGACTGTGTGGTGCGCAACGGGCAGGAAGGTGATGATCTTAGTTCAGGGCTAAGAGAGGGATGCCAGGCAGCTGAGGCAGCAGGACAAGACACTTTCAAAGAGATCTGTGATGATGGGGAAGGAGTATAATTATTTAGTAGATTAAAGGGTTACTGACCTCAACGGAGTATTTTTAATTATAAGCAAGCCTTGAAACTAGAACATATCTATAGATTTTACGGGCAGGAGCCAGTAGAGAGGAAAAACAGAAGATGCCAATTTCATGCCTCCCTCGGGACCTGGGCACTTGTCCCCTCTCCTTAAAATGCTTTCCCTCAAACTACTGTATTATGGGCTGAGGAATCAGGGGAGGGGAGGAAGAGAGAAAGCAAGCCTGCTTTCTCAGGAAGATGAGGGTTAAAAGTGGTTGTATCTTCACTCTTCTGTTGCCTATTGAAATAGGCCTCACCTTGTAAAGTGGATTTAATTACATATCAATACATCTAAAATATGAAGAGGCTATTTCTGTGGGGATTTCTGTTGGTTTGGCTACACGCTGGACTTCCTTCTTGATCTATAAACAAGCTCTATACTTTGGAGAGGCTGTCTACCTTGACAGTTCGCCATGAGCCTGAAGTGATTGTCAGAACAAAAAACCCAAACAACTTACCGTCACTTCCAACAATATACACATCTACGTTGATCCTGATAAATTCTTGCAAAAGCTGTTAGAAAGAAAATAGATCTTCCTTAGCGAACAGCGTTACTTGCGAGAAATATAAAGAAAACTCGTAATTATACCTTATGGGTGATGTGTTGGTTAAAGAACCTTTTACATTTTGAAAAACGACAATAATGTAAAGAGAAACTAAAGTTAAAAACAAGACTCTGACAGAAGGAAATAAAACCGAAGGAAGGAACTCTCCTCCTCAGGGACAAGTTAAAAATCACCATTCTTGCGGGGAAGGACAACAGGGAAATCTTCTGCTTCAACTCACAAGATGAACTCTGATTTAACTTGAAAGCTGTTTCTTTTATGGGATGACCTTGGCCAGAGTTTTCTAGCTACACAGAATTAGAAAAAACCAAAGCCCTAATGACATCATTGTCCCTGCCCACAGTGACTAGATGTATCTAACACCAATGAACCGTTACGTTTTCCAGGTCTCTAGGCTAAGAATAAATACCAGTAGTGATGTAAGGTCATATAAAGGTAAGAAAAGTTGCTTGTACTATTGATCCGTTTAGATGATCAATAAATTATTGTCATCATCAGTGAACACCGAACTTCTACTAGGTTCTGAGTTAACAATTAGGGCTTTAAAAAATCACAACACAGAGTCCCTGTTCTTTCTGCTAAACTGCTGGGATTGTGTGTGTGAGTGTGTGTGTGTGTGTGTGTGTGTGTGTGTGTTTGTGTGTGTGTGTGGTTTCTCCTTGAAAGCTAAAACAAGCAAACACAAAAACGGAGAAAGAAAATAAAAGGCAAGCAGTTGTGAGAGTTCTGTGATGTTAAGATTTTTTTTTTCAAGCTTGAGGGAAACAAAATTGATTCCGTTTTCTAATTTTGTATCCAGTTCACCCATGTTTAATAGATCTTATCTTAGCTCAGCTTTTATGTAGGCAGATTTCTGGGGAAAAAAAACAAGAAAAAGAGTGGTAAGTGTGGAATTTCTTAAATTTTCTTTACTTCTGTTTGTGCATCTCCTTTGGAAACTAATTTATTTTGAAATGCTGACAGAACCATGGAAAGAGAACAGAGTACAACTGGAAGGTTCCAGTCCTATTTTTAAATCACATGTGACATCATTTCTTTCACATAGCTACTTTTTTGGCGGAGCGGTGGGGGCGGCGGGGAGCAGATTTTATACAGCCAACTGAAGTTTCTTTGGTGTATAATGGGTAAAGACAAAAACGAAAGGATCCACGAGTCCACTTTGGTCCAAGACCTTCTCAAATATTCTGTATTTCAGGACAACTTAGATCCAGTGCCCACAAGGGTTGGAAGGTCCTGCAGAACTAGAATTTGGTAGGAGTGTCTACTGACAATTTCAGCATACATTAGACATGTAGGTGTGGTTGTCTTCAAAATTATATGCCACTCTCCTGGGAAATGCTGTTTGAAAGACTTCACTAAACATGCCCCACCCCACTCCCTCTCTCTCCATGGAATATCCTGAGATGTAAATCCTGACGATTTACTTCTACTTAAGTGTGTATTATCTAAAGGAGCATCTTTCTACAAATAGAACTTTTTACCTTTGGTTACTGACTTTTCTTCCCATTTTTAAAAAAGTTTTTTTTTTGATGTTTATTTATTTTTGAAAGAGAGAAAGAGATAGAGTGCAGGTGGGGGAGAGGCAGAGAGAGAGAGAGAGAGAGAATCCGAAGCAGGCTCCAGGCTCTGAGCTGTCAGCACAGAGCCCCAAAAAATCACAAGCCGTGAGATGATCTCGTGGCTCGTGAGTTCCAGCCCCGAAATCGGCCACTTAACTGACTGAGCCACCCAGGCGCCAGTGATTGGTTGTTTTTATTAGGAAAAAAGAAATTACCGTTTTGAGACCTCTCATTGAAGAAATGTCAAGAAATGACACAGCTGAAAAGTCGAGAATGAGGCTATGCAGGCTGATTTTAGGGACCATAGTGTTGAGAGGAAGGTCGGCATTCCAGTCTATCTCGAAAGGCAGGTCGGTGGTATTGATCGGTTGATCCAGTCCTTCTATCTGATTGTTGTCCAGCTCTTCGTCGGAATCTTTAAAGCCATCATTGGTACATATAATTCCTTTCTGCGAGAGAAGACAATATGCATGATAACTCTGACCAAGAAAAACAGTGCATATGTCAAAAATAACCAGTGGGTTTCTGAGGCACAGATTCAAAGTTAGGTCAAGCAATGACCTTTTCTCTGGAAAATAAACACTTTCCCAGGAAAACAAAAGTTTTAAGGAGACCCTCAAAGAAGCCATTTAAAGATATGACATCCTTGTTACCTAGCATTTCATTTAAAGAAATGGAGCCAACACCTTGAACTACTACGTTTTATATACCTTCAGCTATAACACCCAGAAATGTGGTCAAGAAACTTACTGGTTTCATTTCCAGGAAGTAGATCTGATTCTCACGGGACTAAAGAAGCCCTTAGGAGAATTAAGGAGGCCTGGAAGGTTTTTGAGAAAATGCTCTAATTTGGTCAAATTGTCAGGTGTATACATACACAGTCAACGCTGGGCTAAGGTTCTGTTGGTTCCAGGAATCAATGCATAGCTGAAATGATAACCCACGTGCTGTTAAATATAAAAAAAAATACTTTTTCCCATAAAAAAAAGACATTTACTGGTGTCACTTGCAGCAAGCCTTTTTTCTGCAGTTTTCGGATTTTCTTCAAAGCTTTGTTGCGCTTGCGTAGAATTCGTAGTGGATTAAAGCCAACCTGAAAAATCCATTGCTATGTTACAAGAGTGCTGGATATTATACTGCTGAATATTATAGTGCAGAATTCTAATAACTGTAAGTGGGATGGGTTGGGGTTGGGGCACGTAATAAAGATACTTGTAATAAAATTTAAAAATTGTTCAAACGACGTCAGTGATACATTGTGTCCGACTCTGGTCTGCTCAGGCTGTGTGCTCTTATCAACATGCAAAAACCTCTGTGCCGCCCCGGGTTTGTTATAAATTATCCATCAGTAGGTCTAAACTCTATTTAAATCTGTGTGTGTGTGTTTGGCTTATGCAACCCTTAGGGGATTTTATTTACTTTCTATTTGTTGGATATGGTGACAATTAGTACTCTGCTTCTATGTAATTTTGATTCTATTAAACTTTATATGATTGTATTTTACGATATCTATCATTTTATGATTTTATAATTTTAGCATTAGATCTGAGGGCAACCTTCGTTTCCTCCTTTTCAAAGTAAATGTGTTCTGTGGCAATATTTAGCTCCAGAGTCATAGGGAAGAAGAATCACATTATGTAATAAAAAAAATCCTTGACAAAAAAATGTAATTAGATGGAAGATAAGATTAAGTGAAAAGGACAATATAAAAAGCCATATGAGCAATATAATAGCATCTTTGAAAAAAAATAGCTGGGTAGGAAAATATTTGATGCACGCCAAATGAATAATAATAGGGCTTAAGGCAGAAGCTCTATGCAAAGTACAGAGCAGACCAAAAGGCAGGTTAGAGAATAAGTGCTGATCTTTTGTTTCTTAACCTTAAAGGCTGCTTCTCTGTCATCTTCTCTTCAGCCCATCAGGGACATTCAGCTGTCCTTTGGTGTTAAATATTCATGTAAGTTACATTTACTCATTTCCATTTAGATCATAAATATTCACTTGCTATCCTGAATATCTTCAATGACAGTCAAATAATAAGTACTCTCTTGTCTCTGAAGTTGGTGCCTAAGGAAAATCTGTAGGTTACTATCTACGAAAACCCAGCAACCCCAAATCCTGTGATACGTCCTTTCATTCTATAGCAAAATTGGATAAAAGTTGGCTCTGTATTGAATCTCATCCAAAGGGCCTTACTTCCCAACATATGCCTGGGCCCCTTACAAGGTAGTTTCACCTATTCTGGAACACGGGACAGAAAAATACTAACACAATCCGGCGTCAACATATGTGAAATCATTAACCCTCTGTTGGCAGAACAAACATTTCACTCCTAGATATTCAGTGGAGTTACAAAAAGTATATATACATGTAACAACTTCAAACCTTACAGCATCGATAAGTTTCTGCTTAAAGAAATGGATGTTTGCAAAGTAGATGGGAGATGGACACCTGAAGATCTTCACCCCTTCTGGTTCATACATCTGTAAGGCAGAGAAGTACTATGAGATGATGCCCATTGGGTTCATATTGATATCTTTCATCAAGTCGAAGTCAAAAATGAATCTTCCTTACGTCAGCGTAATCTTTTTTATTCTTATAGACGTTGCTCCTTCCAACATTCGCCAGTGTGCTGCATTTTGGACTGTAGGGGAAAATCAACACCAAGTGAATCACTCGTGCGTGTTTGTTAACAGGGACCTTTCCCAGCCTATCAAAGACGGCTCACTTTCAAAATTTAAAAGGCTGGGGATTCATCATGCCATTAGGCACCCTGGAGGGCAAACAACTTGTTGCCCTCCCACGCCTCCTAGAACAGGGCCTCCCACTTACCACCTCCCACTCTACAAAGTGCTTCCATATGCTTTTGCTGTTTGGATCCCGAATATCACAGTTATTCGGTGAAATAGACAGATGGGGTTATTTGTAGTGATAAGGACGTGGTAAAGCATAATGTTTTGCCTGTGACCACTTGGTTTGTCTCTATGATTGATGGGTCCCCAAGAAATGAGTGAAAACATAAATGAGTAAGAGAGTGCAGGAACATTTCAACATAAACGTATTCCATCAGTCAGGTATTAACGTTAACTATACCACCTTCTGTTCTAGAACTCTTAAAGCAACCAAGAAGCCTGCTTCTCTGTCACACCATGTCACCTAACACAGGCTGAGTGACCACATGGTGGTGACACTGTATGGCAGAGATGTAAGAATCAGGAAGATGTTTGGACTGGACGTTAAGAATCAAGAATGCTAACTAGCTTTTGTGTCCTTTTCAGACAAGAGGCGACTTGGAGAAGTTCTCTAGTCCGGCTCCCTGTTTTTCAGGTGGGAGCACAATCTAGCAACCCCTAAAGAGGAACAGCCCTCCATTAGACGTGGAGAATCCCACAGTCTTTGTGGGAACACATTTCCATGTCCAGCAAGGCTAGGGCAAAGACATCAAACCTGCTCAGAGGATAATGACTTTCGGTTTACAGCTGGGCAAACAGGCTCCAAGATTTATATGATTTCTTTGAATTTGAGGCAAAGCCATTGGCCCACCAACAGCTGGTGGGACCTGGGCTGACGTTCTGGGGTCACCTTGAGGCGAGCGACGTGAGGAAGAACAGACTGGCCCATCTTGATAGATAAGCATGCCTGTTAACCAAACTACATTCCCCTTAATCAGTGACAAGTATTTTTCCCCTTCCAAGGGCAGGTTGAAGTCTGCAAGGATGCAGAGCACGACAAACACTCACAACTGGGTCCTGAACACAATGGTCAGGAGCTGGAATGCCACGCTGGCCGCCAGGCCCAACCCGAGTCCCAGGACAATGGCAAAGATGAAGGTCATGATCCATATCAGCTGTAAAGAGAAGACAACGCATGCAGCACAATTTACTCCGACTCAAGTCCAGTGTCTTAGGTCCGGAGCTCTGAGAAAGCATGAGCTTCTAAAGTCAAAGCAGAGGCTGGACGTGTACAGGACAAGGGACCTGCCTCGAGAGGTCATTTCTGTGGGTTCATTCGGAGCCGCAGAAACGCATGCAAATATTTTTACAAGTCCGAAGAGACTGGGTCCATTTCTAATCCCATCCCTGAGCCAGTTAAGGAGAGGACTGAGCCTAACACCGTGGAAACAGGACCTGTTGGTTACAGTCAGCAAACTAATGGGCAGCAAATTAATTTCTTACTTGTGTCCTGCTGTTTTAATCAACGGCTACTATCTGTACAAGAATCATAGCTTGCTCAAAGGGTGTTAAGATCCCCAACAATTATCTATCAGGAACTAAAGTAAACCAAGTGTAGCTGATTACTTTATTCCTGTTAAGTACCGTAGGAGATGTAAGCAACCTTTTTATGCCCCAGACTTTGATCCTGATAAAATTATGGACTCTGCTTCTCCTCCTCGCAAGGCATGCCAGGTGTGAGGGGAGCCTTTCTAGAGTATTTCCAAGAGGAATGTTCAGAATTTAAATTCCTCCCAGATCCTCTGGAAGCGAACGTGTGATCTAATGAAGAACAGGAGTACTAGTGTTTCATGGGCATTTCCTACTTGCAAGTGGCTCGTTCTTTTAAATTAAAATCCCTGAGGATGATCGTTAGCGTATGCAGTTTAAAAGCAGCAAGCGAAATAAGCTCAGTTATTTGAACAGACGTAGGCAAACAACATTGCACTTAGCTTACACTACAAACACGCACTTCCCATCAGCATCAGGACGGCGTCCCGATTCCTCCCTCTTTCAAATGTCGTCGCCTCTACTCACACAATCGTATTTATCCTTTTGCCACAGTCTTCGTATTTCTGTGAACTGCATCAGCATTCCCTTCAGGTTCCCAAGTGCTAACGCTGCCAGGACAGACTGCAAAAAAAACATTGAACAGCAGATGTACTGAAAGATAATCAAAGAAGCCATGCAAAGCAAAGGTGAAGGCTGTAGATAAGTTGTGTCCTTTAAAGGGCCTCGAAGCCTATCACAGAACACACCCTTTTCCGGTATACAGTGCCATCAAGATGCACCAGGTCTGAGACTCTGCCCTGTTCCCAGTCATGGCTTTGTCTCCACCATAGTGTCGGCTGCAGGCTATGGATGGGATGAAAGCACTTACTAGCCTGTCCTTTGGGACAGAGCCAGGCAGCTCTTAAGACCTACACCTTGAAAAATTTTTCCCAAAGATAACCTGTTTGGTGATGGGGAGGCAGGTTGCTTTTTGTTAAAAACAAAAACCAAAAAACCTTGGGAAGCTTGGCACACCTGGAATCGTAATTCAAGCCTTTGATGATGATCAGCATTCAGCCATTTGTTAAGAGGAAGCTGAGGTTAGCCGAGATTTGAGGCACCCTCTCTGGCACAGCATAAGCCATGTCTGTCTTGTTCCCTGCTATATCCCCGGGACCGCCCGGTCTGGTAAACAAATGCATATAGGATGGGTTTTGATACTTATTCGGTGAGTGAGTGGATATGCTAATGAATTAATATTTCCCAATATTAGCCAGCCCTAACCACTCATTAACACGACCTCTTTTAAGAAACCCTGATGTTGATACAACTTGATTAGTAGATTCACGAAGAATGATCTGGGTGGTAAACTCTCCTCTAACCCCAGCAACACTTGGGGCTTCTGCTTCTCCAAAATGAAATCATTTGTCTTGCAGGAATTAGGATAGTTCTGGTAGAAAAAAAAAAATGCGGACTAGGCAACTATGCTCTCTTCCTTATTTGGATTTTAACACAACGGTAGGAACATGCTCCCACCCCCCACCCCCCACCCCCAATTCAAGCTGTTCGTTCTGAATGGACGATGGCATTTGTGTATCGACCGCTGTTATGCCGTCACAGCGCAGTGTGTGAAGAAGACCCCGACAGCTTTTATTTTCCCATCTCAAAGATAGTTTGACTGGTCTGGGTGTTTTTTGATTTTCACAAGTAACATTCAGAACTTAATATCTAACCGGTTAATTTTACTCACTGTGAGAACAGAGGCCATTGTTTAGGGCACTAAATAATGGCCTTGGTGGCATGAAAGGGAAATTGCCAGTTAAAAAAATGGCGAAAACCGAATAGAGCCTGTAATCTAGTTAGCAGTATGGTTTTGTACTGGTTTTGGTAATGTACTGTGGCTACATAAGATGTCACCACCGTGGTGGCCAGGCGAGGGGTCTGCCGGACTCTGTACAATGTGCTCTCCCCCCTCACCTGGTCAGTATTCCACAGAGAAACAATTTTGAAACATTTTCATTGAGATCCCTACACAACAGAGCCCTTTCAAAAAATAAAGATTACAGAGCACTGAGAAGCCATAGAAAGGAAAAGGGGGATAATATTAGAGGGAACCAGGCATCCATACTGCAGTTGATATAAAGCATTAAACACGGATGAAAGGTTTTGAAGTCCGCTGATCCTTAATCAGCACTCAAGAGACATTTATCATTAGCTACTGGCATATTTCCTATGACACGGAGAAGCAAGCCAGCTGTTCCAAGCAAACAGATGTTGCACGCACAATGGCAGAACGTGTCACATGGATCCTTTGTAGCAGGGCCTTTGATTCAGGCCCTCGGTGTGCTTTATTCATGAGAGAGAGAGGATTTTAAATGGCAATTACTTCTTGAGGTTCTCTATCTCGATGTGCGTGAGGTAGAGCCCAAGCGTATCCACGGGAAAAGCACAGTAAGGCAGAATTCTCAGTGGGGAGGGGGGCTGTATGCGCACTTGTTTCTATTGAGATCTACATTCTTCTATTTCTTTGAGGGACTTCTTGATTCCTTTGGAAATCAGTTAGCTCGTGGAGAAGGCACCTTTTTGGCCAATAGTACTCTGCAATATTTGAAGACAGATTTGGCCAGTGGGGCTCTTTGGCACAACCACACAGTTTGTCCAGAAACCTGGGACCATTGTCACTTTCCAGCCACCAACCAACAAGGAAAAAGGCCTAGATACCAACCAATAAACACTGGGGGCCCGTGTCCTACCTCTATGCCCTTTGTAGTCAGAAGTGTAATATAATGTTTATAGAGTAACAACAATACGACGGTAATAATATCAATAATAATGGCTGCCATTCGTTACCTGCTTGCCCCGTGCCAGGCCCCGGGCTAAGTCCTTAATGTACAATATTTCATTTCGTTTTCACAGTGACTCTGTGACGCGGGTACTGTTTCCCTCCCTATTTTACAAACGGAGCACTTGAGGTTCAGAGAGGTTAAGTAATTTGCCCCAAAGCACACAGAGAATAAGTGCCAGGGCCGGGATGAGAAAAGTAGGCCTACAGGACTTGAGCGCCAGGGCTCCGTGGAGCACCTCAAAATTATATGACCACCACGAAGAGCAACGCATTTACCATTGTAGGTCTCCTAGAGATCCTCTGTTTCCCAGGGCCCGCTGCTGTTTTTAAAAATCTGGGTGTAGGGGCGCCTGGGTGGCGCAGTCGGTTAGGCGTCCGACTTCAGCCAGGTCACGATCTCACGGTCCGTGAGTTCGAGCCCCGCGTCGGGCTCTGGGCTGATGGCTCGGAGCCTGGAGCCTGTTTCCGATTCTGTGTCTCCCTCTCTCTCTGCCCCTCCCCCGTTCATGCTCTGTCTCTTTCTGTCCCAAAAATAAATAAACGTCGAAAAAAAAATTTTTTTTTAAAAATCTGGGTGCTGTCGCAGGTTGCAAAGCACGAAACTAAACCCTCAAAGATGACAGCAGAGATGGACGAAGGAGCACGAGGGTGAGGATGGGAGGCCTGTGTGTGGCGCTCGCTTCCATCCTGCAATCACCCGGCTCCGGGCTTGGAGTCCAGACTAACTCCGGGAGCTCCAGGGCGGATCCCTAAGGACGGTTGTGTGGCTGGTAGCACCACTCCCGGAAGCTGATAGCGGCCCAGCTACCTCGGCCTTTAGGAAGATCTTCACTCCCGTCAATGCACATGGAGGCTGCGGTGCCAGCGTGTCTTCCCGTCCAAACATTAGTTATATTCGGGGCTACGGACACGCCGGAGGGTAGAGTAGATAAGGTAGCTGGGGCATTTTGCATTCCTAACATTCATAAAATGCCGCCAGTGGAAAAAAATAAGTATTTTTGGCCCACGAGTATTGATTAGGAAGAGTGCTTGAGAGTCTGCAGCGAGATCATTTTCCCATTCAGTTTGTGCTTCCAGAGTTGAAGAACCAGGGTCTTGGATTCCTCCCGCAAAGCGGAGAGACAGAGAGAGAGAGAGAGTACCCAATCGCAGACAGGCGTTACCTTTTGTAGTGGCTCCAGAAGAAATCCAATGGATACAATGACAATCAGAACGATGATAGCAGAGAGAAGCCCAGCAATCTGTTAACGACGAAAAGATGCTCATCATGGAATTGCCTTCTCCCCTGGCTTGGATTTCCCCGGCACAATCGCCAGGGGGGCCCTGGCAGCAAAGACCCTGAAATACCTGTGTTTTGCCTCCAGTGCTCTCCTGAACCCCCGATCTGGAGAGGGCAGTACTCGCGGCAAAGCCTTTGAATGATCCACTGAATATGTTACTCAATCCCAAGGCTATTAACTCCTGGCAGGAGAATGAAGAGGAGAATCTTTTTTAGAGGTGGCACCGTCGAATATTACTTAGAGTGGCCAAAGGACCCCCAGCATAGGTTGTAAACTTACCTGATTGCCATCAATCGGGTAATCATACTTGAGGGAATAGACGCTGGCCACTGAGAAGGCCACCACAAAGCCAACGATCGCGATGCCGAAGCTATCCCCGATGGTCTCTTGGAAAATCTGCATGTCGGGTGCGCTGGGGGACTGAAATCTGAAAAGGAAATTGAGCCGAGTTTGAATGTCACCAACCTACTAATAAACCTTCAGTGGCATCCATTTGCCCTCAGGAAAAGCCCGAATTCTTTAGCAAGGCCCCCATCCCTCCCTTCCCCCCCCAACTCCTGCTCAATCGCTATCATTTCCCAGAATTTATTCTCCAGCAATACCAAGTTTTTTGTTTGTTTCTCAAAGGCATCACCTGTACTCTTAACTTGGAAGCTTCGAATTTGCTGTTCCTTTTGCCCGTACCATTCCCCTCATCCCCCTCCCTCCCTCCCTCCTTCCAGAAAGTCCTCCCTCACCACCAAGGTCAGGGTTAGTTGACATTCTCCAGGCTTCTCCAGCTCTGGATGCTTCCCTTCCTTATCCCCCTCCCACCCCCCCAACTCCCTACCCCGACACAAAGCAGGGACTATGACTACTTCATTATTCTATCACCAGGACTGAGCATTCTTCATGGCGTACATCATGGCATACGTCAATAATCGTCTGGCGAATCAATGAATGAATGCAGTCCAGGCTGACTTTTGTCTCACTGTGGAGTGTGACCAGCAAGAATTTAGCACCACCACAAACTTTGGAATCTGTTATCTTACTGTTGAAAAGCAATGCTGCCTGATTTTGATACAAGAATGTCAATCCAGTCCCATGATAACGGTGCATCTGATATTTTGCTAGTATAGCCACACCATAAGGTACACTTGTATCCCTCTAAGCTTCATGCAACGTCTTAGATCCCACTGGTATTGTTACGCTGGATTGAAAAGCATCACCCGTAATCCCTCCAAGAGTCATCCATGGATGAAGGTCTTTGAACGAACACAGTTCAAGACAAGGGAAGCGAGAAAATCTCCCTTCCATTGATAGCAATACCTTTCATGAAAAGCTGTTCGCAAACACATGGGCCTCGGACTCTGCCCTAGGTTCCACAGAACTCCTAGAGCCAGCTGTAGCCCCGATGGAGAAGGGCATTTATAGTGACGTAGTGGTCAGGGAAACGTTCAACTCAGAGAAGAGCCATGTGTGTTTGTACCTCATGAATTTAGAGCAGTTCAGTGATACTTACTAATTGTATTATAAAAGGTACAAGTATCTCCAAGTCAACGCCGATTTACTGACATGCTCAACTCCTGTCAACATCTGTTTCTGACCTAAATCTTAATGAAAGTAGGTTTATTGGATCCATTGGACAATTTCCTACTTGCTGTTCATATTTTGTGAGTATCTGTGCTAATTAATATACTTTCAACCTTAATCTTTAAAGAAAATTTTTCATGTTTATTCATTTATTTTTTAAGAGACAGAGTACAAGCGGGGGAGGGGCAGAGAGAGAGAGAGAGAGAGAGAGAGAGAGAGAGATAATCCGAAGTAGGCTCCAGGCTCTGACCTGGCAGCACAGAGACTGACGCGGGGCTCGAACTCACGAGCCATGAGATCATGGCCACGAGATGAGCCGAAGTTGGATGCTCAACCGACTGAACCACCCAGGTGCCCCAGCTTTAATCTTGAAGAAGTACCATGACCACAAATTCTGCAGCTACCATGAATCAGAAAGTTAGCTTGGAATATTGTTTTCTACAAAACAAACCCCAAATCCATGATACAATGAAGATTTGCGTTTTATACCAAAATAACCAGAGGCCTGCTATTATTCTTGTGTCCTGGCTTCTAAATACCTTAGACAGAGTGGTGTGGTGGAGATTTACAGTCTGAAAACTTGGATTCAGTTCCTGGCTCTGCTACGTACCCTTGCCTGAGCCAGTTTCCTCGTTTGTAAAGGGAAGATAATAATGGTTGTTTTATTTACTTCATAATTTTGGGGCGGGGGGGGTCAGATAAAATAATGAATACTGTTAGAACTATTAGAATACTAATAGAACATGAATACTATTTACACACTGTAAGGTACGAAGTGCCTGTTAGCTATTATTATAAGATACCTCTGGAATCAGAATATGTCCTCTGTGTCTCCTTTACTGCTTCGATGATCACTTTCTTTCAGTCAGTGAGTGTGACTTCACAAAATCATTTCTGGGGTGTCATACTTATTAACAGCAGCTGAGCAATAATTAATAATCATTGTTTTCCAGGTGTATTCTTTCTGCAGTCATCGGAAATTTAAAATGCCCACTCGGGGTCCTGGATGGCTTAGTCAGTCGAGCTTTTTTTTTTTT